GGAATCGTTGAATCACGTCAGCGCTATGAATGAGAATTTTGTGGATTGTAGCAGGCATTTTGTACAATCCGTACAAACTGATACTGAGCTCTGCAGGATTTGAATTTAGATTTTATGTTGATATCCCTTCCACAAGATAATGTTTGTAAAATGATACCGAATCGTTTAACTACATTTTTATCAACTCCTGTGACTTTTGCCGTCAATTCAGGATCTCGAAAGAACCTTTTCGCGGTGATGCCATCGTTTGATGACCCAGAACCTTGTCTAGGAACATCAACGTAGAGACCAATTTAGTTTTTAAAGTTGATGTATACTAAGTTTTTTCAACATTTCTAAATTCAAATCCTACTGCTTAGAAACTGCAGAGCTCTATGTCAGCTTGTACGGATAGTACAAAATGCCTGTTACAGTCCACAAAATTCTCATTCATAGCACTGACGTGATTCAACGATTCCATATAGCAATCGCTTCTTTTTCAGAAGAATGCAAAAAAGCACAGCATAAAAATATTAAGAAAAAACGCCAGTATAGTACCAGAAAATGTTCTCGCAAGGATACGAACACGGATTAGATTCGGGAGCATTCCGATTGACCACGGTACGATTGGACATAACCAATCGATGATAAGAATTTTCTAGTAAATTACTAGGTCGAACCAATCATTACAATCCATGTCCAATCGTACCGTGGTCAATCAAAGCCCACTTATTTGATTCACAAGCTGTTGATTTTATCAGACCCGTATATCGCTTTGTTTACAAAGAAATGGACATACAAAATCAGAAACGTTAATCCTGAATGTGAAAAGCTTCTTTTACATGTGACCGAGATTTCTCTTATCGAGAAGAACACGGCCAAAACTTCGTCTCCGCCAAGGCGGTGACGGCCGAGTCTGCCGGCAGCTCTAAAAAACTAATCAGATTCGGCGTGGTTCGTAAGCCGACGCGCGAAGCTCTTCGCTGCACACGTGAGGAGAAGGCGAAGGGATCAGAAGAACAAGAATTAAAAACACACGCTTCTTAACAATAACGCTATATTTAACAAAAAAAAAAAAAGAAAAACGATGCGGGACTCCGGTCGCGCGGTTCGCGGAATGGGTTGGCAGCCGGATCCGTAGTCGAGGATCCGTCTACCTCGCGAAGTTTCTCGCGGCGCAAGGCTCGTTTAATTACTTTAATTAATTGGTATATCGTCCCTCCCCGATTCTAATCACTAAATTGGGCGCCAGCGGGACGCATCCCAGCCCTAATTATCCTATCGCGAACGTCCGCGGAACGACAGCCTCGCCGCACGCCGACTTCTAATGTTCCACCCCGCGACGGCGACCGAATTTTCCAGTGTTCCGCGGTTCCGACATTGGCTCTCTCGATGCTCGACAGAGCTTATTAACGCTCTATTTCGTTCATTCTCAGAGACCCGCATTCTCGCATTACAGTCGCATGATTCTTAATATTATTACGCTTTTCGCTCGCGGTACTATGCGGTCGCGATCGCCGTCTTTTAGCAGCAGGCAACGCGGGAAGGACGGTCACTGTGTCGCGAACGCGTAGCTCTAGCTCGCGGCAACAATCTCGTCTTGCAACGAAAACGCAACGAGGAACTCTACCGACGGCCGTCGGGAAGCGGTGGCAGCCGTTCCGATCTCGATCGATCGCCTGGCTGGACGTATACTTGGCTGCGGTCTGCTCATTAAAACCCCGTGCCGTTCTCACTCCCCAATCTCATCCTCTCGTTCTCGTAAGAGAGGCTCCGCTCGTTCGCTCACTGCTGGGTTCGCTTCTCGCCGTTTTACACACTCTTTCGCTCGCTTTCGCTATCGCCTGTCTCCGCTCGCGTGATACCGTACTTTTTTAGACTCAATTTGATGACGGCGAAATCGCCACGTCATATACAACAATAAGTACCTTATCACCGATTTTGAAGATATTTCATACCTTTGTGTGGTTTGTTGGGTGTCTGGTAGAGTGTTAAGATAGGGCTGAAGGCGAAGATTCACTATAAAAAAAATCTAACGCGCCTGTAACGGCACCTACAGGTGGTGTGGAAGACCGTTACTCGCTCATATACTCATGTGAATACATTAGTAATCGTGACTAATTATACATATTTACGGAGTTTTGGAGTAATAGAATTCAGAGTTATGAAGTTTAGAGCTTATAAGGTCCTAAATTATGAGATTTAAGATTAGTTGGTCTGAAAATATGGAGATATGTTGAGGATTACTAAGGTAAAGGTGGTTCGAGCTCAGTGATGTAATAGCTAGCATTGTTGGGTTCGCAGTTTATGCGATTTAAAATTTTTCTAAATATTTTTCTGAGAAATCGGCCTTGACAGTTTTGTAGAGAATTTATTTACCAACAATTTAAAAAAAGTTGCATCTAAATCGGTTAAAAATCAAGGGTATTCTTTGAGCTTCTTTGAGCAGTAAATTTCTGAAATGGCCCACTGGACGCCGTTTCGCTTCGCGCTTTCATTTGGCACGAGACACTATCACATCTCTTGATATATTCAAATGTATTATATATGATAAAAACTATTTCTTATATATCTCGAATATCTTATGATATTCTTATGATATATGGTTCTCCTAGACAACTTAAATCTAAAAAAAAGTAAATCTTTAAACTGTTTCTTTTATAAATTTGAATATCTCTCCCATTTGATTCAATTTTATGCTTCTTGTGATCTTTTTTATTCCATGCGCGAAATCACCGCTTATTTTAATAGAGGAAAGTAGCCAAAAGCGACATAAACCTCCTAAAGCGACATACCTCCATATCTTATATATTATTAGGTGGTAAACTTAGTTCCTGCGGTTTTTTTGTTTAAAAAACTCATTTATTTCGACATCAAAAGCAAAAAATACATTAATCGAAGTATTTTCCCTCGCTAGCTATACATTTTTCCCATCTTTCGATAGATCCACGCGTAGATTCCGCGACGATAGAACGATTGGTCTTTTGATGCAATCCATTCGTCGATCCATTTTCGCACATCCTCGTAATTTCTGAAGTGTGTATCCACCAAGCCGTGCTGCATCGACCGGAACAAGTAATAGTCCGAAGGAGCTAAGTCTGGTGAATACGCTGGGTGCGGGAGAACTTCCCACTCGAGCTGCATCAGTGTTTCTTTGACGGCTTTGGCAACGTGTGGTCGAGCGTTGTCGTGCAAAAGCATGACTTTACGTCGATTGCTGGCTACTGCTGGCCTTTTTTCCAACAATGCTTCATTCAGACGGTTTAATTGTGATTGATATCGATCCTCCGTGATACTTTCGTTCGGTCTGAGTAGCTCATAATAAACGACGCCATCGTTATCCCACCAAATGCAAAGCATTGCTTTGTGGCCATGAATATTTCTCTTTGGTGTGGATGTCGATGGTTGGCCAGGGTCTACCCATGATTTTCTTCGTTTAGGATTATCGAAGTATATCCATTTTTCATCGCCAGTCACTATGCGCCACAAAAAACTCTTCTTTTTCTGCCTGGCGAGCAGAGAAATAGAGATGTTTAAGCGATTCGCAATGGCATTTGCGGTTAATTCGTGTGGTACCCATTTTCCCTCCTTTTGAATTTTTCCCATTGCATGTAGACGTTTGGAAACAGCCATCGGAGTAACATTTAATGCTGCAGACAATTCTTGGAGCGTTTGAGTAGAGTTTTCGTCCAATAATGCCTGCAAATCGGTGTCTTCAAACTTTTTCGGTTGGCCTGAGCGTTCTTTATCATTGACATCAAAATCACCACTCTTAAATCGCTGAAACCATACTTGGCATGTTCTTTCCGATGGAGCATAATTGCCATAAGCTTCGAAAAGCAATTTATGAGCTGCAGCTGCAGTTTTTTTCAAGTCAAAGTAATGAAGCAGCACATGTCGAAAAAACAACTTATCACGTTCCATATTTAATCAAAAGAAAAAATAGCACTGCTCGCTTAAATGAATCTCTTCGCACTGAATTTTATTGACAAATGTCTAACCTCTAAAATGCAGCCAGTTTCAGATGTCAAAATAAATTACACCTACAACTAACGTCATCTAACTGTGAGCCGCAGGAACTAAGTTTACCACCTAATAAATGTTGTATTTTATCGAAACTAATATAAACGTAATCGCTTTTATCAATTAAGTAATAAAAAATTTATACTTGGTATATTTCTTGTTTTTTTATATGCTAAATTAGCAAATATCGAGTTTTATAAATTCGCAAGTTTTACTTCTATGATTTTTATTGACGAATTACGTAGATTAAATAGCGATAATCATCATTTTGTTCAATATTAAGTTCTTCTACATACATTTGGCTTTTGTAAAAATAGTTTTTGAATATTTTTACCTTTATCATTTTTTTACTGTATAACTTGAAAAATTTTATGAGAATCTATGTTAAAGTGACATACCTGCAGTATGCGATAGGTGCGACACTCTGTGACTAACATAACTTGATTAATAACCTCCCATTGTGACGTGACATTTGTTTATTTTAAATCTTAATTTTGTTTAGTTTAAAAATATAACATATGTAAAATATGTAAGAAATGAGACAAATGGAAAGATATGTATTTATTTAATTACATTTCCCTTTTGTAATATTATATTTTGAATAAATGAATATTATTCAACCATTAAACGCACTAATGAACTATTTATTATCATATATACGACATGTTATATAAATTCCAATAGGTATTTCGCTTTTAGCACCTATTTTCTTTGAACTTTATTTTCGTGCGTTTTACGAAAACATTTTTTGTTTTAAATCTAGAAACAATTTCAGTAAAAATGTGATATTATTTGATAGGAGGTACTTCCAACCACATACATGTATATTTACATTTATATTTTGAGCTTTATATTAAGATATAATGTCCAAAAACAAAGTAGTATGTCGCTTTTGATGCCTTTACAGTTTTCATGTAATTTATTATAGATTTAAAGCATATTTTTTTATATATGTGTATTATTTTACTTGCTTTGATTTTTATTATTATTGTACTTACCTTGACAACGAGTCCATCAATTTCCTTGTCATAGCGAAGAGCAAAATGTAATTTCCCAGCGTATTCCATTTCTATAGTACTCGAGCTTTCCGCGCTCTCTTGTCTTAGAAGCTCTTTTTTGTATAACTCGGGCTACGAAGATAATTCACAACAATATCATATATGAATATCATCAGTAGTCGTAATATTAATGATTTGTACATTCATACACATTTAATTAATTATTTATTGATTAATTATAGTACTATAAATACGATAATTCATGAATATTTCAATGTATGAAACAAACTAATAATTTAAGATTAAGTAGTTTATACAGGGTTTTTTAAAGACCTAACTCCTAGACCTTGAAAATGGCATTAGATATGGAAAATGTTTCAGACAAAAGTTGTAAGTTGTTACAAAGATCTATTTACTGGTCTTATCAATTTGGATCCCCAAAGTAAGTTTAAAGTCAAATCGATTTTTTAAAATGGAACACCTTATTTTTGATTCCAGAATCTAATAGCTGGTGTCAAGAGCTTTTCAAAACATTAACAAGGAACCCCACATAGATGGTTCACTCCGATTTGGATGAGCCTGAAATATGTTGTAATCTAGACCAAAAGAGAAGACACATATTTTTTTATACGTGTCCAAGCGGGCTTTTAGGGGGCAAAACACTCCTTTGAAAAAAATTAATATTTTTTTTAGGAGCATGTTTCGTCTAAGTATAAGAAATAGAAATTTTCTAAACAAAAATTAAATGGTTTTAGGAGTACTTTGCAATGACAAACTCAGATATTTGAAAAATGTAATGATTTTCAACATACTCCCATCATTCAACAATTTTTTTTGTAATTTTAAAATTTTGTATCCACCAAAAAAAAAATATATATTTTATGCCGAATCCAACCATATATAATAATATGATTTTCCAACAACATACATATCTTGTAAAGAAATGAAGAAGAAGGAGAAAATACATATGTATCTTCTTCTTCTTCTTCATTGTTTTAAATTTCTGCTTCGGATATATCGAATGAATTTTGGAAATCGAGTGATTCTTCTTCTTTTATTTCAAATGTATCTTTATACATTGTTTTTAATATGGTTTCTATTTTTACTTTTATATCCCTTTCGGCATCGAAAACGGGAGTTTGAGGCAAATTTAAAGTTCAAAACACTATGTACAGCAGCATTACTACGTTCAACGGATTAAATAACATTTTACCTAAAACATTATAAACATACATTTACACATATTTGAAACATAATAAATCATAATAATCAAACAATAACAACGTTTTATTATTAGATATACCGTATTTATTATAAAATAAAAAGTGTAGTAAAAAGAAATCCATTATTTTTGCACGAAATTGAAGGCTTTATTTAGCATAGTTAGAATGATCCGATTTAGGTCAAATATGCACCGTTTTGTTCGATAACTTGTTGCCATTTTGAAGGTAATTCCATTATGCCTCTCTCATAGAAATCCTTGTCCCTATTGGCGAAAAACTGGGACAGTCGATTTTCACAAGCTTCTCTTGAGGCGAATTTTTCACCAGCAAAATCATTCGCCATAGACAGGAACAGGTGGTAATCACTTGGTGCCAGGTCCGGACTATAAGGTGGATGCATAAGAACCTCCCAATCAAGCTTCTGGCGAGTCACTATCGATGTGTGTGGTCTGGCGTTGTCCTGATGGAACACAATTCCTCTCCTATTGGCCAAAGTTGGCCGCTTCTGGGCGATTGATTCCTTCAGACGGTCCAATTGTTTTGACGGTCCAACAGTACAAGTCCGAATTAAGAGTTTGGCCTTAGGGGAGCAGCTCATAGTGGATGATTCCCTGCCAATCCCACCAAACACATAGCAAAGCCTTCCTGACCGTCAATCCTGGCTTGGCCATCGTTTGCGCCGGCTCACCGCGTTTCGACCACGACCGTTTTCGCTTGACCGTTGTCGTAAGTGACCCACTTTTCATCACCAGTCATCTGCTGCATAAATGGGTCGATTTTGTTGTGATTCAGCAGCGATTCGCAGATGGAAATTCGGTCCATGAAGTTATTTTGCGTTAACACGTGTGGCACCCATACATCGAGCTTCTTTTTGTATCCAGCCTTATTCAAGTAGTTCCAAACGGTTTTTTGTGCAATGTTTAGCTCCTGGGCAATCGAAACAGTGCTTACATGACGGTTGGACTTGACGATTTCCATTATTTTATCGACATTTTCGACAATTGGCCTTTCAGAGCGTGGTGCATCTTTGATATCAAAATTACCGGAACGAAATCGACGAAACCAAAATTGCGCGTGATTGGCTGTTACAGTATCAGGATCATAAACACTATTCACATTTCCAGCCGCCTGGCTTGCGTTTTCGCCTTTATCGAAGAAAAACTGTAAAATATAGCGTATTTTCTCTTTGCTGGTGTCCATCTTTGACGCGTGCTCAAACAATACTGAGTCAAACAATCACAAAACTGTCTGAGAAGTTTTTTTAGTACGAAATCTTATCTTTCTAACGCCATCTAGCGTAAACCGATCGCACTTATACAACGCGAGATACACATTACTAAAGCCATCTGTTGGAAAAATAATGGATTTCTTTGTACTACACCTTATATTAATAAATATTAATAAAATATTAATAAATATTAATGTTTAACCTTTCTTTACGTTATCAAACTTAGTACAAATGTGTGTCAACTGATAATATTTATTCAATAGAATAATGTTATATTATATACGTGTAAAATTTTTTGATATCTGAATACACGGTTTTTCCATAAAGATTGTACAAAAGACCAAAAAACAGTTTTCACAAAACTGTAACAAAAATAATGATTAAACAAAAAACAAATGATCAAAGAAATATGTACAAAATATGATTAATAAAAGAAGTTTTAAAGATACACGTAGCGATATGCACTAACAAATTTGCACTTGATGCAATTGATGCAAATAATTTGTCGTAAAACGATAGATACTCACTGCGACACTAGCTGTTATATTACTGCTTATATATATATCACGTTTCGCTTACATGATGCTTACGCATACATAATACTTTTTCACAATTTGCATTGCAAAAACCTAACTGTTTTGCAAACTTGTTATGCATCTTTCATTACATCTACAACTAAACTCTATTAATAAATATGGCCGATTTTGCAATTCGTGTATCGCTTCCGTCCTAGCAATTGCGTCAAATATATATACGAGGTGTGGCTATTAAATAACGAGACTGACGCTGCTACAGAAGAAGTGCGCATGCGCCAAACGCCAGCAAGCCACAGCTGTTATCGTGAAACCTTCTCTTTCAAATGCAGT